TGAGGAAGTAAGTTTTACATCCGCTCTTTTCTTTCGTTGGATGAACAGCGTCCTCAACACAGGCAGTCAAAGACCTTTAGATCAGGATGACTTTTTACCGTTGCAAGAAGAGAACTCGGCCTGTTTTGTCACCGAGAAGTTTCGAGAAAGCTGGGAAAACAAGAAAGTTCACTGCAAGAAAAATGGGAAAAAACCCAAGTTGTGGAAAAGCGTCTTCCAGATGCTCTCTGTTGAAGATGTCATCATTATTTTGTTGGGAAATAGTTTGTTTACAATATCTCGCCTTCTCTTTCCATTGCCTCTCGGATATCTTGTTGCCAAACTAATGTCAACTGAGACAGGCCATTCTATTTCCCTCTATGCATGCGCTTTGGCTTTGTGTTTCAATGCTTTGATCGGCAGTCTTGGAATGCATCATCAAGACTATAAAGGAGAAGTGTTGGGGATTCGAATAAGCAGCGCCTTGAGAGGTCTGGTGTACCACAAGGTAAGTACGATTCTGCTTAATGGTACTAAGGCATTTTTCTGTTACTCCTAAAATTCTTCAGCCCGGGTTAGGCACTCAAAAAAGAGAAGAAAAAAGTTGCCCATCCGATCCGGAATTGCTATTTCCAGAACTTAAAATCTTGTTATCAGTTACGGCCTCTGGAAGCCAGGGAACGATATCACTGAACCAAGGGAAGAGGCAAATTGGTTTTTGTGCAAAAAGTTGAAAATTGAGGGGGCAAAATAGTGCGTGGTCGCCACAATCAAAACAGCGCGATTTCTCCAGTCAGCGGTGTGGTTAACGATGTCAGTTATTTGTTGTGTAAGTATAAGTGAACAATCTCACTAGAAATCATAACAAATATATCTTCACTTGTCAGAAAAATTATTTCTACTGGGGCGACGGACTTAGTCAAAAATCAGGGACTGCTCGTAGTCTCATAAATTTTAGAGAACACTTACTCTCTTTGTTACTAGCTCCAAACAAACGAACAAACGAACCGGCAAACGAACAGTATGAGTCAATTTGATGTCCTTAATGATCTGCAGACGCTTCTTCTCAGCAAGCAGACGTTACTGAAATTCACAGCTGGACGCGTAATTGACCTGATATCCAATGACGTGAAGCGAATGGAGGAAGAGACCATCAAGTTTTTTTTCTTGACCATTTTCGCATTCTTTAGCACTGCGGGATCAATGTTTCTTATCACATATTTGATTAGCTGGCAGGCTGTAGTGGGAGTTATCTTCATGCTTTTTCTACTG